GTCAACTACGGCTCACGTTTGCATTACCAGACTGGAATGAGCTCAGGATGGAGATCAAGGCTGCCTGTAATCGGCATAGTACAGAACTTCTGAAAACTTCACTACAATGTTCTTCTCTCTTAACAGTCCGCAGACTCTTTTGGCTGGAATGAATAAGTTTTTATCTCAACTTGAAATCACTTTTAGAAGAGATCCCAACAATTACAGACCAAGAATAAACAAACTCAATTCAATCAAGGTAAGACAGAAGCACCTTTACAGTAAAGAAGCCATGACTCTTTAATATGAAGCCAGGTTTTAAAATAAGGAACAAAATGAAGACTAACGTGGTAGTTTTGCTGTGCTTGAGAACAGCAGTAAGAGTATTATATTAAGGCAAGTAGAAAGGAGTTCAGATAAGTGTCTTTTGTTTCAGCCATGTTCAAGTCCGCCAAAGACTATTTCAAGTAACATTGACCTTTTTTTCTCTTCCCAAGGATGTGGAACAAAAGAAAAGTGGAAACTACTTTTTCCTGGATGACTAAATATTGAATCTGAGCATCTTTGTAACTGGCATATAGAAATGCATATTGGAATCCAAACATCTGTGGATGAGAAGGCTCAATCAGGTTTTAGAACACTTCATGTTTTGGAGCTTAAAATCTCTTGCTGCCTGTAACGTCTGAGACCAGTAGCAGTGTAAATCCTAGCCTGAGTAAAACTGCCACTTTCTATATTTTGGTGACACAGCCCTATTTTCAGTGTAATACTTTCAAAATAGACCACCTCAAAATTCTGCAAACGAGTCTCCAGATTTTTCAAAATTTAAGGGAGGTTTTCAATTCCATGTATCTCACTCATGTACCAAGTACTGACTGAACTTCCTCATTTTAAAAATCTTTGAAGCTGTTTTATGTATAAGAGGGACCCTTACCAAGAAATGTCAAGATACAGAAACAACTCCTATTTTAAAAAGGCTGAATCTCTCTGGCTGAGGGTTCGTAAATAAATATCCTCGTAACTTAAAGCTCTTCTGTGACACAGTGCAAAAATTCTTGAATTACTAATTCAAAAGTATGTATATGATGTTGTCATGCACACCTTTTCTCACACTATAGAAAGGAACACACAAAAGATGGAGTACAAAATACATATAACAACATAAAGGAAGAGATCTACACCTTTATCAGCCGTCTGTCCCTGTGCATCTTTTCAGACCTAGTTACAGGAGAATAATCAAATCCTTTTAATCTTCCGTGACTTAGACCTGCATAGTAAAGAAAGGTTAACGGCTGTTTTCTCTGGTTGCTTGTTCTACAGACTTGACAGTATGCTATGGGAAGTAGGGTTTTGAGTAATAAAGCTACCTGTTTCACAAAGTACTAACACTTACCAACAACACCCTCCTCCCGTACTGTGATAGCGCTGCACAGAGCTGGAGAGAACGCTCACCTAAAAGCTTGTAATGGACTGATCATCTATATACAGCTTTGTTAAGGACTGAAGAGGGTATGGCAGCTCATCCCTCAGCACAGGGTCTACCTTACATCTAGGCCTTTTCTGAACAGAGGAAGGTTTCAGTTTTTATGTGTACAGAAAAGCATCCTCTCTCCAACAGCTCTAATAGCACCCTACCTAATGGGATTTACAAAACCAAATTGGATGTTTCAAAGCCTGCAGGTTAAGAGATCCCCTGGTGTTGTACTGATTATCTGAAAAGAAAACAAGCATGTTTCACCTTGCAGACAGCTTGTGAACTTGAATAAAACATCCTGTTTATGTACAGAGTTCACTTTCACGTAGTAGCACTGCTTTGTAACACAATGAAGTAGTATTCTGTTCTCTACTTCGCGATCAAATCTCAGTTTTTAGAAGCACATTAAAATGAGCATCATGTAGCAGATTAAACATCCTACTAAAACTACCATTTTCATCAACAGATACACAGTATTTCCAGCAGCAAAGCTGTGGTTCATTAGAAAGGGTTCTCTTAGGTGGGGAAACTGAGACAAAACTGATCCTTTCAAACTTACTAGCAGGTGTGAGAATCCTGACCAGCTCCTCCTTCCATCTGTAATTGCTGGCACCCACCATCTTCCCATGAAAAGAAGTTTTTACAAGGTTAAGATGCAAGAACTGCTTTTGCCTAAAGTGAGAGCTTTGATGCTTACTATAGACAAAAATGAAAGTAAATAAAAAATAGCTTGTTAAAAATCAATTTCCATATAAAGTAAGGTACTTCAGGGAGACAGAGCGAAAAGTGCCTATATTTAAGTATTCCTACACAAATGTTACACAAGTTTCAAAGACGTGTCAAAATAACTTTCAGGTATGTATCTCAAAAGGAAGGAATGTATTTTCCATGCAACAGTTGTCTGTTCTGCATTTACTTGCATGTGCAAGATGTTATGAGAGATGACAGAAAAAACACGTATTTGGTGTTTTTTACATCTTTGCCTCATAAGTTACAGGACAAGGCAGTGGTCTGTGGTTTTTTTTAAGCCATTATGTGTGTTAGTAACTTGGATATTTTATAACCTTGGCAGTATTGTGTGTTACATACCCTCCTACGTACCCAGCTACATCTAACTGACAACAGAAATCCAGCCATATTGTGCCAACGGAGGTATGCCATGAAAAAGTAGAGGTAATGAACACATCCTTACACCACCACCACCGCCTGTTCAGACAAAAACTTCCAAAGGCTAGCTAAAATTTACAGTTAAGTCATGCAGATGAGTAGAAATCCCTGTGGCCTCAGGTTCTGCATCTTCTGTCCTAATTAGGGAAAGGTAAAGATGTAGATTAGCAGATACCTGAAGCTGCACATCTGTTAGTTATATGCTAAATATTACATAGAGTCCGCTACTAACCAGTGGGATCCTGCAGTCTAAAACATCATGTGCTAGGTAAAAGACAATCAATCTAAAAGTCTTTCAGCAAAAACAGAGAAAACCATAAGTAATCAACAGTGAAGGTGGAGAAAATATTACATCTGCACATTTCAGTCCATAACTGTCCTACAGCAGCAAGGCAGGGCATAGGCCCAGCTTAAATTTTTAAATGTAAATTCTAAAAGCACAGCCCTACCAGTTACTGCTATGCCTGTGCTTCCCGTTGTTTCTTCCAAGAAGTTTCTGTGGAAATGACAGTGCCTTGGTTCTTGCAGCAAAGCTCACAATTAAATACCTGCTGCAGTATGGAATGATTGTTTTGGTGACTGCTGGACAGATCTGGGCTACACCTGGAGTTACGCTTTAGAACCTCCCAGGAAAGATTACAAGAAGCTCCTTTTAAGATCCCTCAGGGCTTGCTTAATTCTCAGCCTGAAAAGCTGAAGATTGCCTCTTCTGAAATCCTGAATACATTTCTGAATGGAAAAAGATTTAGACTCAAAAAAAGACCCCCAAACCCCACAGTACTGCCCCTACCCACTACCATTTTACGAACTAGAAATCTAGTTTACATCCCTTCAAGTTTGCAGCTTGCCTACATATTTACTGTTTATACTTCTGCTGTGTCTACAAGTGGCTCTAGTGGAAGAAAACCATACACTTAAGTCATTGCAATAGTTTCAAAGACATGGATATAATTTAGAAAGAAAGTGAAAAGACAAACATTTATTTTAAGTAGGGTTTTATACATGGCATGCATCTGAAAAGAAATTCTTTATCACATAACTATCAAGTTTCCTGATCAAGGGTATACAATCTCGGACATGAACAAAAGAGTACCATCACCCACACTAGTATATACACAGATATAAAAATATACACAACAGTTAATTTTACAGAGCAACAGAGCTGAGTGAATACTGTGCACGCTGTGCTCTCCGTGTCTGGACAGCTGATCATCCAAACTGCAAAGGCAACAGGAACACTGCAGAGATCTTTACCGGGGTCAGAAGAAACAGCATCAGAACTCTGACACAGTGTAAAAATGTAAGGCAGAAGCCACTTTCTTCTGAATTGTAGGGAAGAGCAGAGCACACAGACTCTCCATCTTGCTTTTAAAAGTAGTTCCAGCAATGAGTTGTACATGCAAAACATAAATTTGCATCAACAGTGCAGCAACAAAAGAATACTGAACAGTAGCTCAATCATACAACCTTAAAAAACGTAACGTGTACTTTATGCATCTCTCCTCACAAAATATCTAGGATTTGTCAGTGCATTAGTGTTAAAGTGGCATTAAAAAAACTTCTGCTATTATAACAGATGCAGAATTATTTTGGAAATGCATAGCATCTACATTTTTATTGTCTTTGTAATTATTTAGTTGGCATAGGCACCATTCTAGTCACACCAGCATTAAGAATTCTTGGTGGAAACAGCCATTCTTAACTCATACACAGCTTTTCTTGACTGCTTGTCTTGATTTTGATTTCAACAAATAAATGCTTTTTAAAATTCAAAAATATACCCTATGAATATTAAAAGAACTATATACAACATACCTAAGACACAGGGTTAGCTGGCTGCCGTACATGTAACACACTGAAGAGAAACATTCAAGTTTGACAGATTTTTTTTCTGTTTTTTTTTTTTCCTTTTTGAGATGAAAGGCCTTTGGGTTGGAAGCATATCAAAGACAACAGTGCAGTAGGCTGAGAATTCCTTTAGCTCAGTTCAGAACTAAGGCATTGTATGATAAAATATACATTTATATTTGGTGCAATGTTACTGTCAATTTTAAAATCTAGATCGCATCCAATGCTGTAATTTGTCACTCTAGTAAACGTACATACCCATCTTCTATCACAAACTCAAACCCTGGGGGGGAAGTTACCAAACACTAAACCTATATTGTTTTTTTCTAATTTGAGATTGAGGAAAAAATGCTAAGCCAAACAACCTCTATAATCCCCCAAAAACCACATGGCACAAGTTCACGACCTCCTAGTCGTTGCTCGCCAGAAGTTCAGTATATCCTTGAACCTCACTAAAAAGAAAGATTAAGATTTTTAAACTGCTACTTCAAATTACTTTTTGCATTTTAAAATTCTCAGTTATCCATTCATTCTATGCTTGATGCCCCCTCTGATTATCTCCCAGCGTTGCCCTTCTCCGGTCATTCCTGTATGGCCTGCCCCTGAAGTTTCGCTGGTACTGGTAGCCATCATCCCTGGCTCTGCCGGGTGGTCCTTTCCAGGCCTCCTCATTTCTCTGGAACTGGTATCCTCCCCTGCTGGAATAACCCCACTCAAGTCTAGGCCGCCTGCCTCCTCCGTAAGTCTGGTTATAGAATTGCTTGGATCTGCCACTTCTCAGCATATTGGAAACTTCACTCTCATCTTCAGAGCTCTCTTCCCTTGTTCTCTCTGCCTGCAGATTACCAGCGCCCTTGGAACCTTTATCCATCTTCTCCTTACGACTGCAAATTCTGTTTTTCAGTTCATTTTTCAGTGGTTCTGCCGACAGTGGTGGAGTGCTGGGCACCGCTGCCTGCCTCTCCATCCCCTGTACTTGCGGAGAATGATTTTGCTGCCCGGCTGTTTTTTGCTTAGCAGAAGAAGCTGAAGGACAAGGTTGCTCCAACTGAGGTGCCCTAGCTGAAGCTTCTTTTGGGGCACTGCACTCACTGCCTGCACCAGCCACCAGGAATGGCACGCTGTTCGAGCCACCGCTGCTGGTAGCCTTCTGAAGCGCTTCTGCACAGTTTACTACAGGAACTGGAGGGCTGCATTCTTTAGCCACATACATGTTTGCAGAGGTGCCAGCTGTTGCCTCTTTGTCCTCAGGTGACATGACAACATTAGGTCTTGCTGCAGAATTTTCAATGAAACCCTGAACTGGGTACCCATACCAAAAGTGAGGAAAGAAAGGAGGTGCTATTGGCACAGCTCCTAGGAAGTGATTGTGTCCAAAGGGGGGCTGTGGGAACATATTTTTCCCTCGCAGGGACTCCTCATAGTTTGCGTGAAGAGCTTGCACTGGATTCTCCGATTCTACACAGACCTGTCCTTGACTTTCTGACACCTGAGCTGTAGGCATAATCAGAGGCAGTGATGGAGATCTGCTGTCAACCTGTGGAATTTGACCGTTGGATCTGGTCTCGCTCGGAACAGCAAAGTGCCTGTTTGTCCGTGCAGTTTCGTTTTCATTCTGAGTCGGTGGAGCCTCCTGGAACCAGGGGTTGTGCGGGTACACAGGGACGGACACGTTTGGGTACATTCTACAAGCAGTTAAATAGGCCTGGTGCAGCGGGTACAAGTAAGAATGGGGTGCCCACATGGGGCAACTGTATGCCTGCAAGACAGGGGGGAGGGGAGAAGAAAAAGTATTTGGTCTTTTGAGTGTTCAGACACACGTAATAGCACACACGTCGTTTACCATTCTGAAACAGTTAATCACAGGAAGTAAAGGTTAATTTTATTTACAGTGACTGCCCTCAATCCTAAGAATATCCAGGAGTCCAGGATGATGTTCTAATTTCTAGTCTTTCTTCCAAATGCAGTTCAGATGGGCAACAGTTATGACCAGTAAGAAAACTTGGTAATATGATTTCTATATAGCTAATTTAAACACGTGATGCTATTAAGTCAAGCTTTAGCTATGCATTTGAAGACATACATTTCAAATTAATTTTCCAGAATCACAGTTATTAATCAGCAATTTGCCCCACTAGCTCACTTTTCGAAATGATAAGGGTTAACAATCAAAACAACTAGGAGTCATACCACACATACATTTTCACTTAAAAAAAGAAAGAAAAAAAACAAACACACACACAACAGACTACACCAAGACCCGAAGTTAGATCATTGCCCCAGGGACAATTTATAAAGATTGAAATCCATATATTCACACAACCCACAGATCAGCTTTCTCAAAAGCCCTTTCATAAAGTAGGGGGGGGTAGGTTTCTTTAGAATACGCAAGACACTGTCCGGATACCGGTGGGAGACACACATGGACACGCGCCATTTTCAGCGGCAGCCTTTCCCGTGCTGTTAGTGAACATGAGCGACATTCACAACACTGAAGTCACCCATCTCAGGTGGTGAACCCCTTCCCTTTACTTCCGTCTTAACCAACGGGCACACACTGGCTTACAGTTACATTGCTCAGAGTTTGAGTTGATAAACACAGACTTCATGTTTGTGTTATGGTACACAGCAGCTGGCCCAAGAGCAGCATTGTAGATGTTTTTATAATACAATGTGCCATACAGAACACCACGCAAGGCTGCTGGAGGCACAAGGTTGCCTAAGGGAACACTGGAGTAGGCAGAGGGCAGAGCCCAAAACCTGGCACGGTCTTGTCTGTGACACCTGTAGAAACAGTCCCTGGAGCAAACTGTCCTAAGAAGCCCAGCCAGACCTCCTCTCAACAGGAACCAGCCTGTTCACTCCCACCAAGCAGCTGAAAGGGTGGGGATAACAGCGTGGCGGGATCGGAGACCCAAGCAGTGGACTGGATCATGCAGAAAGTAGTTCCCAGGTCTACCATACTATTTGGTCACCAGCTGAGGAGCACAGCTACTAGAACATGGTACTTTGACCAGTAGGTGCTGCTGAAGCACCAAAATCACGGACTATGTCCTAAGTAATACAAAGTACCAGTAAGGAGAGTCCCAAATGTACGTAGGCTTATGGAACAAACACTGTTTAAATACATTGCAATGACACTTGCTAATGACTTTTGGATATTCTGTTAAGCAAAAAGACTTGTATTAGGCACACAGTTCTCAAATCTAAATTTACTTTGTAAGTTGTGCTGAACATTCCCTCTTTCCATGCACAGACACCAAACAGAATCGTTACTTATGGCCAAAGTCATGTGGAATAAGCCTAAGAGCTCTCAGCACCTTTTCCAAAGTAGTTTGCCTGACAGAAGGAGTAAGAGAAGGTAAAAGAAGGAACATTTTTATGTGCGGAAGGGAGAAACTAAGCAAACAACTAGCCCCTTACCAAGAAATGGAAAATGTTGCCTTTTTGGATAAGCCTCTTCCCCAACCACACACGCAGATTTGCACCACACATACGCATCAACTGCTACTATAATTACTTAGAACATTAAAAATAAACAATTGTTGTCCCTAACCCGAGGAGAAAGGACACGTGCAGATTACTTCAGGGAGCGTCCACAGGGAAAGACATACTAGGCATTGGTACTGCAATGGCCTTGCGAGTACACAGACATGGTCAGAGAGCCTTTTGTCTTTTACTATATGCTGCTTCTGAAAGAATGCATTTTCAAACTCACAGTGGTCTACCTGTGAATTTGTAAAGCACAATCTGTAGACTGTAGAGCCACAGTTGGAAGCCAATAGCTCTCACTATCAGTAGAGAGAAAATTTATTTCTGTTGACTTGAACCCCAATGTGGACTACTGTTGGGATCCCAGTTAACAGAAGACAAAATAAGAAAGTATTTCAAATTTAAAGATGAACCTGAAGTCTACAGCTGCAGAACCAAACTTCTGCACTCCAAGTACTACCAAATACAAGCAAATTTTACAGTATAACACAAAAACATAAGCTCAAAGAGTTACCTTCACACCAAGATTGAAGAAAAATCTAAGAATATTCTTATCTAGGAAAAAAAAGCAGAAAAAGATCTATGACAACCTGAAATATTACCTTAATCCGACTGAAAAATTAGTCCCTGCATAAAGTTCCATTTCAGTGGAGAAACACTGGTATTAAGTTGCTACTTGCATGTCTTTGATTAATTTGTTTGTTGGTTGTTTTGGGGGCTTTTTTTTTTGCCACAGCAAGCTACCTAGAACACAACTGCAGTTTAAATTTCAGTTTTAACAGTTTGTGAAACTGAACTTCTGGTTTCTAAAGAAACAGTTCAGTAAACAAACACCACCGTGCAGTCAGACATGATACGTTCTTCATGGGCACATTCCACATTTGTAGTATGCCAAAACCTGTGCTTTCCCAGACCAGTAAGGAAATGCTCAACAATTTCCAACCTTCTGATTACAAGAGAAAATGTGCTACTGTAAAAGGAAGCAGTTTCCCCAAAGAAAATGCTTTACATTCACAAAGCCTCAAGTTACGGTGGGTCAAGCTACGAACCACAAAACTGTAATCAGATTTCCAGGTGTAACCACCTAACATAATCACAATGTTAGCAACACAGACTGAAGAGTTACAACTCTATTCACTAGTCCCTCCCACGCCTTAAATCATGGAATGATAACCACTAGATCTTTTGACACAGACTGACAACAGGACCAAATAAGTGATCTTTATCTACATTTTAAGAAAAGAAAACCCATTAGGAAAAACAGTATAAAATCCAGACCTCCTCCTAGCTTCTCACCTTTAGGTAAGTCTTCCCCAGTACTGCACAGGGAGTAAGAGGGTGCAACAGCTCTTTCTCCCTTTTCACTAAAAGGGAATCCAGGGTATAGCGGATCCTGATAAGGATTCAGAGTCTGAGGCAAAGGCATTAAAGGCTGGTTAATTGCTTGTAGCGACACAAGAACTCCAGCAACTGGAGCAGATTTAAAAAAAAAAAAAAAGAGCCAGGCCCGGTGGCTGCGGCTGCCATCAATGAAGAAGCAGGTATTTGGGCTGGAATACCTAAGGGGAAAAAAGCATATACGTCAACTATATACAACCACAAAAGAAAATGACAGTGGGAAAGCAAGTTTCAAAAGACAGGGAAAAAAAAGAAAAAAGGTATTCAGGAAGACACAGGAGGAATTTCTTGAGTTGACAAGTTAGAAACGAAGACTTCACTAAATGCAATGAATAGTTTTCAGAAAGAGTGAAACAGTTACGCTTTCCAGAAATAGCTAAACCCTTCCCATATTTATTTTTAGAATTATGAATACCAGAAGGAAATAGGAGCGGGGAAAAAAAAAGGAGGAAACAAACTTATATGTGAATCTCTGCAGTTCTCATTCTGACTAGTTATTTACAGTCAATTCTGAATCTGAGCTCAGATTAACTGGACTATGCATCTTCTGTCACAGATGCGGTCAAGTACGACAGGATTATTACTGTATCACAAGAACACAGGACACTGATTTGAAAGTTAGTTCTTGTAGAGAAACACAACAGCAGGAGAGAAACTACAGCACCTGATCTAACGAGCAATATTGAATCTAAGCTAATTCCATGTATCAGAACAGAAGACAGGCGCAGCACAGAAATCCTTTATACTGGCTTTGTAGCTCAGGTCCAGATGGATCTCATTAGTTCCAGACATACCAGACCCAAGCTGAGTCCTTAATGAATCAAGGAGCTTATTACAGGGGACACAGAGCACAAACACGTATCAATCTTCGACATGCTGATGACGTGTTCTACCTCAAGCAGATCCTCAGAATAAGCCCCCTCAAAACTCAACTCTACCCCACTCAGGAGAAAAACAGAGTCGAGTACACATCTCTCTTCCACATTCAGGTAGGGAGTAAAGCAAACTACGTATGTGGGCGACCAAAGATCTACTAGAACTCTCACTAGCTTTTAGCAGGGAGAAACTATATTCCTGTAAGTGACTGCCTTTGGAATATGAAGTTATACGAAACAGTGTCTCCTGAAGCATCTTCAATTTAGCAAGACATTTGAAGTATTTTTCAGGGTTAGTAGTTTCCGATTTACGTTAATATTTCTTCAAACCTGCTGGTCCATAGGTTGTTGGGTCACTCGGCCAAGCTGGCACAATGGCTGGTACAGAAGGCACTGCTGGAGGTAAATGCACCTCAGAAAAGACTGGCGAAGGTGTTGGAGTTATGCTTGGTAAACATTCTGTCACGTTCTATAAAAACAAAGACATCACATTAAATTATTCCAAATCACCTTTTCTGGTGACCCCTAATATGTCTGACTTCTACCAGAAAAGGCTTGATGACTCAGTATTATCCAGACTACCACCATCACCACAGCAAAATATTAACTAGTGACATACCAGGCTGTATCCATAAGAGAGATCTGAGATACATTGCATCACTGTGTGAAGAACTGCACTGAGCTCTACCCAGAATGTGCCTGTACCACAAACAGCCATCAGTGTTACAACCACCTCCACACGCATTAAATTTAGTTGCTCCCATCCAAAAAGAAAAGCCACCCTCCTCACAAACAATTACCAATAACCTTGGAGAAACCTGAAAAAGCAAAGGTAAAGAATTTAAAGTGAAAATCACTATTATCTTAGCAGAAAGATATGAAATAACCCCTCTCCCAGAAGAGAAAGGATATGCCTTTACTTTTTATCAAGCATTGTCCTTTTACATTCTTTATGTTGGACATAACAGATTCCTAACCTTAAATACCAAATTTTAGCATTATTACCATAGAAATGGCTACATAATTAAAAGCCAGTATTATAATACATACGTGGCTGTGATGAAGCTCCCCTTTGTCTGAAGTCTCCTGACTGGAAAACTTTGAAATCAAACAAACATTCCTTACTTGCTCAGCAAGAATTGGAGAATCTGGTTTTACTTGTTCCAAAGGAGATGAAGCTTTTGGGTAACTCTCATCTTGACTATTCTTCTAAAGCAGAGTTAAAAACAACAGACACAGCTGGTCTAATAGTAAGATTTACTTTTCAAAGAGGCATTCAAAGATACTAAACCACACTACGCACAAAGTGGGCTGAGCACCCGATCACTATTATACTAGTGTAACATTTTGCTCATTGAAAGGACGGCAAAGGTTAAAAGCAAACAAGAGGCCACAAATCTTCACCGAACTTCAGAGATCATGGTCTGTTAGCACAGTAGCTATTAGTAAACATCAAATCTTCTGTGGTCCCATTATACTGAAAGTACAGACTGTACTAAGCAATTACAAATCCAGGTTCATAAGTGCTCTCGATAGCCCAGATCTGAGAACTGAGACTGCAGAGAAAGACTGTAAGTATGGGTTACAGGGGCTGAGGAAAGCTGACAGCAATACAAGCCTCCAACCTTAGAAGTATTTCACTAAAAGCTGTAAAGCAGCAGCAATCACAGCTCTGAAGGTAGCTATTGTTCTGTTAATCATGTATCAGAGAAGCAACAACATTAAAAAAAAAAATGTGGTCTTTTCTTTAAGATTACCTCAGATGAATTTGGCTCAAGCTTCTGATTTAAGTGGATCTGTCTGGAATTTGACTCTGTAACACCAAGACATAACCTAGTAAATGAACCATTACACCATTTATGGCTACCACAACTTAAGCCAGTTAAAGTTTGTCTTTCCTAAGTTAAACCTTCAAAACAAAGCCTACCTCAGCACATACTACTTCAGAAAATGTAAACTTCAACTTTTATCAAAGATCAAAGCATCCTAAAATAAACAGTTAAGGCAATAACAGAGCAACTATTTCAACCTGGGTTTTCAAAGCTCTACAGGAGTTCTTTACTGATGTTTGTTGACCATTTTGGTGATGCTTCAGGGAAGCAGGAAAGAAATGCAGCTGTCTCTTTTAACGCATATCATTCATCCCAAATCCCTCCCTCCTTTTAATGGAAGTTTGTACTTCCATTAAAATGAAAATGTTTTGATCTGCATTTCTGTATTCAAGTGTTACGGTAACAGAAGTTTAAAGTCATACCTACTTTTGACTAACAGATCAATTTAGAAGGCTTCAATTGTTCAAAAGATCTAGAAAGTTTTCAGACTGATGCAGAAAGTTTTATTTCTCAAGCACCAACAAACGCTTCGTGGGGGAGAAGGTGTTTAAAACAGTCATGGCATAATCTTCACATAGTAAGATCTGTACAAGTTCTTCACATTCTAGCTTATGTTCAAAACTGGTTACCACTGCTTGTCAATCAAATTCATGCACATAACTGTAGCCAGTAAACAGATATGTACTTTTTAAAAGCTTAGTATATGCACCTTCACAACTAGACAACAACGTAAATTAAAACAATATTGATCATGAGAATTACTGCCAATTCCCCAAGCACCAACAGGAATCTCAAAACACTCGGAAGGAAGCACAGTTAATTACCACAGGATTTTTAACCTAATTTCAGAAGAGGCAACACAACCCAGAGCATCACAAAAAACAGATAAAGATATACATGCTGTGCACTTCGGAAAAATCTATCACGACACTGTAGTCAAGAGCTTTCTCTACATCAACATTCTTTTTGGGATTGCTGATGAAATAAAGTTTTTAAAGGAAACAAGTTTTCAGATGTTTGGGGACTGAAAAACAGGTAGCATTAGTCCCTGTGAGACCATTCAAGAAGGCATTACATGTTCTAAGAGGGACTAAGGAGCACAAGTACCATAAATACACAACAGCAATGCCTCTGCTGTTGCCAGAGCTAAAGGAACCAAAGGTCTTTAGTTATGGCAAAGCTGACAGGACAGCTCTCAGCCACATTCACAAAGCAGGAAAATGTGCACTTTCTCCCTCAACCATACCTTTGCTACTTTGAACCTATCTTAGTTTGGCACTATTACTTATGGTAATTTTCCCCATCTTGAATAAATTCTGAGGCTGGTAATAAAACCTAGCAAACAAAAAAAGCTTTGATCTAAAACCATTTATTTTTACCTTTATCCTTCTGCTCTTCCACCTCTGCTGTCCACTTGCTGTTTCTTCTTTCATTATTTACAAACTTTTTCTGGTTCAAATTATCCACAGCTTGTGTAGCCGCCTGACAGACTGACTGATTCTAAAAAAGTTTATAAAAGCAGAAATACGAATTTATATAATAAGCCCAATGACACTTTGTCATTATCTGTTACAATACTATTATGCCTTCACAACATTATCTCATCTCTGCGACAGGCAGAAAGGCATGGGAGGGAAAGCAGTCTTGATCAGTATCATTCAGATTCACTCACTCTTTCATTTATTACTAAATTTTTGCAAAGTATCTTTTAAAAGCATTCATGTCCTTAGTTTACATGACAAACAAAACCTGCTTTACTCTGTCAATGTCTGCTTTAAAATCACATTCTGCTTCTGCAGGTGAAGAAACACAGCATAACGTTAAGCACAGCTCAGAGGGAAGCAAGCAACCTCTGCCCGTTAGGCTTCAGTCTTGGTCTGCTCTTTGCAGCGCAGAAGAGCCGTACATTTCATCTCGATTACACCAATATCAGTAATTACTGCTCAAGAACGGAAAGATATCACGCAGGAAGTCACTTCCACAAAGCAAGAGATTTAAGGCCCATCTTTCACCTACTCATTCTTCCCAGCCTGGGTCTTCTGTTTGCCATAGGATTTAAACACAAAAAGCCCCACAGGTCTCTAGAATAAACCTATGTAGACAGCAGCTCTTCACCCACAGGATCTGCTCACTCCCTGGATGTACTGAGACTCCAATCCACTTTCTTTAAAAATCGCATCCAATAGAATAATCTCTCAAAATCTCAAGGCCATATTCTTCCCTCATAGACAACTCCACTGAAGCCAGCTCAGCTCCACAACAGAAAGAGAGCAAGTCAGAGAAAGAATCTGCCTTACTTATGACACCAGGCAAGTTCTCACACTAAAAAGAAAAGTCACTTATACATAAAACAGGCTGTACGTAAACCAAATCAGAAACAATCACCTAGTCACCCCTGGTATTAACTCAAGCCCTACAGTGCCATCTTACTGAGCTGTTTCTCAGCTAAACGTGTATTTCAGAGCAAGTTCTATCCTTGCCTTGAAGTTTGAGCCCAACATACAAGAAAAAGACATCATCTGAGTAATCGGAAGGCTTTGCACTCCCCTACAAAGACAGGAGGAATACGAAGAAAGAAGCCTACAGCGTCAAAAGCTCATGCGTCTACCATATTCACATGCCTAAAGAACTGTGTGCAGTGGGCATTAATTATTCCCAGGGGAAACTACTATGTATGTGTCTTATCTGGAATATATAAAGCATTGCAGATTCACATATTCCTATCTAGAAAGTGAGCATGCAGAAATCCTTAACTTCTAAGTTGTATTGTAATGCAAGAATAGCAAAGCAACAAGTGCTAATTAAAGATTCACGGACAAGTATGAAAAATGCACTATTAATTACAATGAAAAAAGCATACACTGGAAAGAGCAGGAAAAGCTTGTTCATCCCTCTGCTGGATCTCATACAGCGACCGAGATTCTTCTATAGCCTGTTTCTCTCTGCGTTCCTCTGGAGACAGGCCAAAGTAGTTACAATCTTTGCTGCCATGGTTCAGATCCTCGGTTCTCTCCCGGTCTGGTTTTCTGTAAAGGAAAAAATGAAACATAACCACTTTGACAAAGAAATCCAATTATCACCAGTATCAAACACAATACAAACTCATCGTTTAGAAGGAAGAAAGACAGTAATTATATAGCACTGCTTACGCAATCCACATATACCAGAACCCTTTCTGCCCATTGAAACTTACCCATATACATAAAATTTAAGGAAGGGAAAGAATGGATTTTGTCCATGATTTGTTCAGTCCAATACAATTTTGAGAGACTTTGTAACAAATGGTAATTATTAGATTGTAGTTAAAAACCAAAACCCTACATCAAGTGATCTAATCCATTTCTGTGCGAATTGAGAACTGACCAGCCCCTCATCTGCTATCTAGGAACATGCAAGAGAAAGTTGGGGAAGATTTCTGTAAATACAACAACAAAATGGAAAATGCATTATAATTTTCAATATGTGAAGCATCACTACACAAAATTAACATCACTATTACTTCAGCTTTCTGAATTACTCAACTAAACTTTTTAGGATACTCGTGTATTTAGGTTAAAGGGGGAAGAAAAATGCATTTAAAACGTTGCATATGGCAGACTCCATTTATTCCACAAGGAGTTACAATACAGAAGAGTGACAGAATAGACCATGAATAGTTTGGGTTTGTATCCAAGTACAGAACAGCTTTTTAGATAGGATAGAAGAGTGGTAATGATGAAAACAAACTCTGCTGCAGCAGCACAATGAATCAAAAAAACACTACCAACAAATGCAGGAAAAATGCTGTTCTCGTACTGCTTCAAGCGCTCAGCCATAACATGAAGCAGTCCTCTATAACAGGTTCTGCAGAAGGTGAGAGATGATCTTAGCCATGCCCAAGAACCTCCACGTGCAACACCACTTCAGCCCCACCCAATAAGAAAAAAACCCCACAACACCCACTTTCCAAGAAGAAACTGCAGTTTTGTGTATGGTGCTTCCAGGGGAGATGCTGCCATGCAAGAAAAAAATGTGGCAGCTCATGATGGCATCTTTCCTGTCCCTGTGTGTATTCTTAAGGACTTGGAACAGTTCCTAAGAATTTAATGGCAACATATTTCAGAAGAGCATGTTGGAAGCATCTGAAGCAGGCACCTGGGCTCCAAGCAGCTCAGCTGGAGTTCAAGACAAGGAAAACGTTATTTGCAGTTTTACCTTACAGTCTGGGAAGGATTCCTGCCTGGAGGTTTTTGCTCAGCTGAGGTCTGATGAGGCTGGGGTCCAGAACATAAGAACTGATGCTGCCTGGTTCCCACAGTATGCTGAAGTCGAGGAGGTAGTGCTGACTGAGGTTTTATTGACTTGCTCTGGTTCTTTGGCCCTCTGCAATCTGCATCTGTGATACAGACGCAAAAACAGATTTTTCTTTTTTTCTTTTTTTTTTTTTTTTTAAATCATTTTTTAAGCTCTTTGGGACAAAAGATCTGACAATAAAGATTCTGCCACACAAAGACAGGTACAATCCTACCGGGCTGAGCATTCTGCCCCCATGCTGGGAAAAACTTTTTTATCTTCTTCCCTGGCACAGTGTTCCAGCCCTCCATAGGAGAGGCCTGTGGAAGAGGTTTAAGGCTCTTCAGTGAGACAGCATGCCTATAAAAAAAAATCATGGAGGGAAAAATATCTTAACGATCAAACTGGTGCTTGCATAAATTAATACCACATGTTTACTACAACTGATGGGTCTTTCCATTTTTGAGAACATTGCATTCAAAGTCCTTTGCTCTTTATAATTACACTCCAGAAACATGTAGAAGAATAAACCTTTTTTTTTTTTCCAAACAAAACTCTGATAAGTTTATGCAAACTTAGCCAGTAAAGAACAATCCACCATTTGTGAAGTGAGTATTCCAATTTCTTCAGGGCAGACAGAAATGGAAAATTATCAGAAAAAGCAACATACTCAACAGGTAAACTTATCACAAACACTACATTAAAGAGTGAAAAACATTACATTGGTGGTTTATATCCCAGAGTAACTACTGTATCTTTAACTGAGGATGCTATAGGATGTCTAAGCAACCTTTTACGTAATTTCAAAGGAAGACATTCAAATCAGGTTAAACCTCTATCTAAAAAGGGAACAAAACTGCAAGACAGTCTTCAAAGTTCACATTTTCTTTTTTTTTTTAAATTTTTTTACAGGAGATCACATGACATTAATGGGCATCTGTCTCCTTCCCTTATTTACCTTGACTGAAACTGTTTCCTCTTCCTAAACTACACTGCACTGCTGGGGTTTTTTGCCCCAGAAGAGTTGCAGAACTTGCACAGCAAAGCTCAAGAAGATCTCAAACCACAGACCCCCCCCCAAAAAAAAACAAACAAACCCCCCCAACAAAAACAACCAAAACCACCACCACCCCAGAAAAACAACCCACTATAACAGCCAACCAACAACACACAAGAAAAACCTGCCATTCCCACCAACATCTTTAAACACTTAGTTTGTCCCAAGGCAGGGCAAAGATGATGCTGATCTGAACAGCAGCTTGGCACTCTATGAAATCAGGCAGAGCTACTCAACCAACAGAGAAGCTAGGTGCTTTGATAGACCTTTTAATATGAAAAGCTCGTCACAAATCTAGCATCTAATTATTAAGCACAACAAGCAACACTTAATTAGGATGGTCAACCATTAATTCGGATGGTGTCAATCTGTTTAGGATTTAATCTTGTGCAAAAAAAAAAAAATCCTAATACTAACGTAGTCAGTTTTACTCTGCAAGTAATACCCAGGCTTCCTAGCACTAAAGAAGAGAGTCAGAAGTGACAATCAATGCAGAACCATTTTCTCCTTTTTTCATTATTCTTAACAATTTTGTGGTAGTACTGCTTCAAGTAAAGAAGCAGATACACTTCAGCAGCTGAAATGAACTCTGAACTAAAGTAATGCTGCCATTACCAAGGTTCAGTTTGGCACACTTTTCCAAAGGTGATTAAGCACTTACTTTGCTCCAAGCTCTTCTACAAACACAACAACTGGCCCATTCTCTGAACAAACTTCTTGAATATGGGCATTATAAAACTTCCCATTATGGTCTAAGCACACCTGGAAGAAAAGAGAGTAAAAAACCAAGTGCATTAGCTTCAAAAGAGACAATGAAAAATATCAGCAAAGTTAAAAATAGAAATTTTCCTCTGGGCACAGTATACCCGAGAAATAAACACCATGTAATTAAATGTATCAAAAGGAAATCTTCAACCCATATTGCTTCTTCAGAAAGAAATAAAAATAGTATTAAAAAAAACAAACACAGAAAGCTTGCTGGGTAACACTACTTAATGCAACACTGCGTTCAAAACTACATGAGAAAGTTAGAAGTAATCAGTGTACCAAGGCTTTTCAGCTTTATTGAAAACACTTTTTCTTCCAATAAGACCCAAAGTTTTTCCTTGTTAAAATTCATGTATAGAAAAGAAAAATTCATTACTAACTTCAGTGAAATTGAATTCAGAACATAATGAACACCAATTATTTCCGAAGTTATTCTTCAGAAAGTTTTTTTAACACAACCAAATAAAGTTGTTCAGATGTGGTCAGTGTTACTTGTCTGACCTTCCATGTTCTTAAAATTTTTCTGTTAAATATAAAATAAATTTCATAACATTCTGCTGCAACATTTGGCTTTCAAGTTGTATTAGTTTGCTCAACTCCAATTTTCACTACCTACTTCATCTTCCCTTCCCATGTTTTTACCCCATACATTTACCACCTGGCCATGCACATAGAAATTGAACAGAAGGAGTATGTTAATTACCAGAGTTCTCTCTACTAATAGTATCTGTACTCTTTAGTAAATACTGCACAGGACAGCCTTAGGGACTTAAGTAGAAGTTTTAAGCCTGTACTATTAAACAATAAAATCAACTCCACATTAGGTCTTTTTGTTTGTTTTGGGTTTTTTGTGGGATTTTTTGTTTGTTTAGAGATGTGTTTTTCCTGCAATTTATTCACTGTGCTTAATTCCATTACACAAATTAAAAAGTACAAATTGAGAGAGCTCCCATGCTGCATGTAAAACATGGTATTTTCACATTAATAACTTTAATAGATGATCAAATGTCCTAGAAAGAACCATATCTAGCCAAGTACCACCGGTTCAGTTAACACATCCAAGGAGATTCACATAAAATTTGAGTACTACAGAATTTTATGGCAAATCTTATTTCTTCTTAAGCAGCAATACATACTACAAATTTTAATGGAATTTAAAGAGCAATTGTGTAACACACTTCGAATACTTCAAGCGGAAGAATCGCCCAAAACTTCAGATCTTCAGGATCTGCAGTAACTAAAACATGCAGCAGTATGATAAAGCAAGTGCAGCCATCAGCAAAAGATGCAGTGAAGTTTTTATAAAAACAGACCTACCCCACACTTTTGCACATCATGGAAATAACTGGTGAGCTTATGGAGCCCCACCACGAGAAGAACTGAGCTTAGCCTGAACCACAAACTGTCCTAAATGCTTTTCACACAGAGGCTAGCACTCTACAACACCAAGGAAGGACTTCCCATGGAGGCAAGCCTGCACACACTTATTTGCATATTTAACGTAAGGTCCACAGCCATCTTACTAAATATACTCCTGAAAGTTAACCTTGTGACCTTTTAATGCAGTGAAATTGCACTGATCAAATGTTCTATTGCATGAACAAGAATGGTGATCTAGCATCAGCAGATGAGGAGAAGGCTGAGGTACTCAACAATTTTTTTGCCTCAGACTTCACTGGCAACATCTCTCCTCGCCCCTCCCCAGTTGATGGACTGCAAGATGGGGACCAGAGGGGCAAAGCCCCTCCCACTGTAAAGGAAGACCAGTTTCATGACCACCTGAGGAACCGGAACATACATAAGTCTCCGGGACCCGATGAGATGCATCCCAGAGTCCTGAAGGGTTGGCGTGTTTGATTACCAAAGCCACTGTCCATGATGTAGGTGAAATCCCTGGTGCCTGGAGGAAGGGAAATGGTGGGCCCATTTTTAAAAAGGGTAGGAAGGAGGACCCTGGGAACTACGGACCTGCCAGCCTCACCTCTGTGCCTGGGAAGATCACGGAGCAGATCCTCCTAGAAGCTATGCTAAAGCACATGGAGAACAGGGAGGTGATTCGAGACAGCCAGCATGGCTTCACCAAGGGCAAGTCCTTCACCAAAGCCACCTGACCAACCTAGTGGCCTTCTGTGATGGAGTGACTGCATCAGTGGCCAAGGGAAGAGCAACAGATATAATCTATCTGAACTTCTGCAAAGCCCTCAATACAGTCGCCCCACAACATCCTTCTCTCTAAATTGGAGAGATACGGATTTGAAGGGTGGACCTTTTAGTGGAGAAGGAACTGGTTCGATGGTCGCATCCAGAGGGTAGTGGTCAATGGCTTGATGTCCAAATGGATGCCAGTGACAAGTGGTGTCCCTCAGGGGTCCGTACTGGGACCGGTGCTGTTTAACATTGTCATCAGTGACACGGACAACGAGATCGAGTGCACCCTCAGCAAGTTCGCAGGTGACACCAAGCTGAGGGGTGCAGTCGACACACCAGAAGGACAGGATGCCATCCAGAGGGACCTGGACAAGCTGGAGAGATGGGCCTGTGTGAACCTCATGAGGTTCAGCAACGCCAAGTGCAGGGTCCTGCACCCAGGTCAGAGCAACCCCCAGTATCAATACAGGCTGGGGGATGAAGGGGATGGGGAGCAGCCCTGCCGAGAAGGACTTGGGGGTACTGGTGGATGAAAAGCTGGACATAAGCCACCAGTGTGTGCTCTCAGCCCAGAAGGCCAACTGTACCCTGGGCTGCACCACAAGCAGCGTGGCCAGCAGGTCGAAGAGAGTTGGGGCTGTTCAGCCTGGAGAAGAGAAGGCTGCGGGGAGACCTTATAGCAGCCTTTCGATAATTGAAGGGGCCCTATAGGAAAGACGGGGACAATCTTTTTAGCAAGGCCTATTGTAACAGGACAAGGAGTAATGACTTTAAACTAAGGGAGGGTAGATTTAGACTGGATAAAAGGAAGAAATTCTTTACTATGAGGGTGGTGAAACACTGGAGCGGGTTGTCCAGAGAGGTGGTAGATGCCCCATCCCTGGAAACATTCAAGGTCAGGTTGGACAGGGTTCTGAACAGCCTGATGTAGTTGAAGATGTCCCTGCTCACTGCAGGGGGGTTGGGCTAGACGACCTCTAGAGGTCCCTTCCAACCCTAAGCATTCTATGATTCTATGATGTCTTTTCTACAGGTATGCTGTGAGTCATGAACACCATCAACAAATAAATAATGAGCATATATACAGTCGAACACACCAGCAAAGAATATTTAGAAAGTAGCAATCATATCAAAATAGTTAACAGAGGGGAAAATTGGCATCTTGAGAAAAATGTTAATGTCTCTATAAACTATAATTCAGTACTACTTACTTTACATTTGTCTCCAACTGAGTATTGCATGCCAGCAGCAATAGAAAAATCTTGTTTTTGCTGATCTGTAAATACATTAGCAGTAATATATTGTTAGCTTAAATACACCCAAAGAGTTACTTCCCTGATGCTGTAAAAATGCAAACCAGAAGTTCAGGCCCTAAATCTGCACGCTGACCCATGTGAGGAAGACCACTGCCTAAACCCATGCTGCCATTTGCATCGCTGTTCTTCAAGAGGCCTTCACTTTATACATTAAGCTTGCAAAAGCTGGAACATTTAAGTATTTGGTTACTTACCCCATTTGGATTGGAGCCAAACATCATACTCAACATTCCTGTAAACTGATGGATTGAGTGATATAAGAACTTTTTTAGGTAAGACCAACAATGTAGAACTTCCATCGCTCTTGAGGTGCTGTATGAAACAGAACAAAGTGCTAAACAGTCAGCTACATAAAGCTGTACAGTTTTAAGTTTTTCAATCACAGCACTCAAGCTTTAAACTGAAAAATAAAGAAGCTGAAAATACATAAAGCATAAAGAGCTTTGAAAAAAATAATTCAATGGTGTTCTTTTAACTATAACAGAACAAATTTAAGAACCAAGCAGCATTAAAAAAAGACACTGCCCGACTTTCGGCACATATCAAAACCAAACATTGCTTTTCAAAGAAATAAGTACTTTTTGAGATACCCAGATGTTAGGAAAACTAGAAACTCAGGATTCTTTCATGAACATTAAACACTGAAAAATATAACAGAGTACAAGTTACTATGAAGAAAGTAAATTTTAACATATAAATACCTTGTTGCCAGAAAGAGACTTCAATCCATTGGTATCACCAACTGTTGTAGCTTTACTTCTGCAAAAGGACAGAAGCGAGATGTGGTAATATAGTATTAATAAGGCCTGGAAATCAGGTAAGAAACATCTTGGAAGTGGATAAAAAGACTGAAACTACAACTCTACATATTTTTCCACAATAAGCATACCACAGAACACCCTCATCTCTTAAAATAAAAAAAGCTAAGTCTAAAACAAGAACTACATTTCTATATCATATAAAGCTAAAAATAAGATTCTTGTTTCTAAGTACAAATTTTAGGAAGTTTAATTCACTGTACTGTACTGACTTAGCCATCACTTAAGAAAAAGGGGGGTGTGGTGGGGAAAGGAGGGCAGGCAAGGGAAACAAAAAATTCCTCTACAATTTTTGCAGCTACGCAAGGAAAAGGTAGCAAGAGCAGACATAACAAAACCCCAAAACTCAATACCAAAACCCACTCCACTAGTTAATTGGCATCAGGCACTCAAATTTACTCTTATTTTCTACATCTGACATCACTCGAAAATTACTCTCCACAGAGAAAAAAACAACAAGTATTTTTCCCTACAGCAGTTGTAGGCAACTGTCAGCATTAACTTCTCCCAAAAACAAAATAAACTATTACACTTAATAACAACAAACTGAAAAGTTCAGATTTATAAAATGAAAAAGATCATCTGGAAAACTAGGTAGTGAAACAAGCTGAAGTCAACTTCAAGACAAGCAAAGTGTAATATGGGTTAACTAAGTCAAGAGTCAGACACACTAGCTCTTGCATCATAAGACATATGGTTTAAATTAAAAACAACTGAGCTTGATAGTCTCAAGTGAGTATATGACCTTCATTTACAAAGGTACTACGGAGGTTATCGGTATATTTTCTTACGAATCCCAGAGATACAGGTTAATGCTACTGCATATGAAGCCCAGGAAAGCTCCAAGAACAGAAAGCAATAAAGAAGGTTTCCACTCTGTGACATTTAACTACAATAATTATTCCCCAAGGCAGAAATACTTTATATTTTAATTGGAAGTGTTCCCTACTATTTTTTTTTTCCAAACAAGAAAGGAAGCTAATCCCTTTCCCAGAACTTGGTTTTCTTTCTGTGGTGATTTCCATCATCTTCCTTTCTGTTGTTCTCAGCTTGAGGAGACAATCAGCTTCCAACACCTCAGAGAATCTCTCCTGCCACATGCCACACAGACTACAGCAGAGCCCCCAGGAAAGACTTTAATGACTTTCAGTGGTAAGAGGGGTCATGATGCACTAATACAGCATAATCTCCATGGCCTCAATGGAATTTCACACAAGCCAGGGTTTTAAGAACAGTATTAAACAGAAGAAAAACTGCCAATAAGTAAATGCAAAAATGGCACTGTGAAAGACTTCCTGTGCAAAAGGAATCAGTAGGTCAAAATCTCGAAGCTAGCTAGAGCATCCAGGTCCAGCAAAAGGAACACAAACCCACAAATATAATCACTTCATAAAGATCAAGAAACAAACCAGAGCAAGCTACATCTGTATTTCTCCATTAGCTACATCTCAAGCAGGCATTTCAGCCCCCAGATGTTGAAGCAACACAAGTTGGATTACATTCCTGTAACCCTACTCAGCTGCAAGAGTGAGCCAAGTAATTCTCAGAGTTTACCATGCCAGACTGGCACACTGACAGTTCTGCCAGGGGATTCTACTTTTTTAAACAAGAAGAGGATATCTTGGTTTCGGCTGCCGCCGGCAACAAAAAGCGCCACGCGGCCGCCCCTCCCACCGCCGGGGGGCGGGGGAGGATGGAAAGAAAGAGGCAGAAAATGGG